GCTCTTGCCCCTGTGGCGGGGCTTCGGGCACTTTATTTCGAAGATCCTTAAGGGACTGGGGTCTGTGGCCCGATGTCCCTTACTCCCCACTGCTCTCGAAGCTTCCCTAAGGTTCCCCAGGTACCTAACCCCCCCCCTCCTGAACCCCTCCCCCTCCCTTAAGGACCAGCTTATGTTCGACATGTATCTAGCCCAAATAGGCGGCTCCCTCCTTCTTCCCTACTTGGGGAAGCCCCTTTTGACTTGGTCAGTTGGGTTTGCAAGGTGGGTTGTGGGGATTACTGTAGGGTTTTCTTGGGGGTACGAAGTAGGCTTATTCCGTCACAAGGGCTTCCAAGTATTCCCTTACACCCCTACAGGTAAGGGCCCTATACCCTAAACCTTAAACCTTAAACCCTAAACCCTAAATCCTAAACCCGAAACCCTGAACGCTAAACCCTGAATGTGGCAGGACTTTTGGCGAGAAGTGGCCTTGGCAAGACCTGGACAGCTCCGTATTTGTGTTTTGCCCAGATCCGCTTCGCGGCCCGGCCGCGCTGCAGGTTTCTCCCAGAGAAGCCTAAGACCTCTTCAAGAAGGAACAAGCCCTAAACCCTAAACCCTAATACCCCTTAATGAAAGAATATGCCAGGGTGGATTTCTACGAGGGTCTTTCCTGAGGTTTAGGTCTGGGCTCTGAATTGTCGGGGTCTGGGAAGCAGGACTCGTTTTCTTGGCTTGTCGCCGACTTGGGTTTCGGGTTACGGGTGAGAGTAGGTCAAAGGCAGAGCCCTAACCCCTAAACTCTAAACCCTAAACACCCTTACTGCAAAAAGGAGCCGAGCTTGTGCATATCTTTGGCGACAGGAGAACTGAACCGCTGCCAAACATTAGACTCTCAAACCCTGAACTCCAAACTCTAAACTCTAAACCCTAAACCCTAAGCCCTAAACCCTAAACCCTAACCCCTAAACCCTAAACCCTAAACCCTAAACCCTAAACCCGCATCCCAGGCAGTCGCTGGGACAGCCTCCCCCGCCCCCGCCGCCCAAGAGCAGCTCGCCCACGGAAATCTCGTGGGACCAAGGCAGGGCCTCTGTAGGGGTCGTTGCAGCCGGCGTAAGCCGCGTAAGCCTCCCTGAGCCCCTAAACCCTAAACCCTAAACCCTAAACCCTAAACCCTAAACCCTAAACCCTAAACCCTCAACCCTCAACCCTCAACCCTCAAAAACTTAGGGGGACCAGGGGTGCAGGGATGCAGGGTTGTTAACCACACAGACTCCCCACCCTGTTTTGCTCCTCAGGGGTTGAGGGTCCCGGGCACTTTCATCCTCCGGTGCCGGAGCATTCTGACTTTCCACTACTTTTGGGTTCATTCATTCTAACCTGCTCTCAGCTCTGGCAAGTAGCACGACATAGGCTCGGATGTTCAGCCCAGAGCCCTAAACTCTACGCCCCAAAGCCTATGAGTTTGGGCGACATGGAAAACAATAGGCCGAACAGTGAAGACAAAGTGTGTTTAAACACAATTCCACAAACGACCTCGCAAGCGACTAAAAACAAGTGACAGAAGCTACCACGCGTGCGCCGCAGGCGTCAATGCGCGCGAAAATGCACTGACGTGCGTTTGTGTCGGTTTTTGTTCATTTTCGTGTTGAGCCGCATGTCGTTCTTTGCCGGAACCCTTTTTTTTAGAAGGGAATTTGTAAGCCAAAGGGTAGGCGTCTTTATTGGCGTGCTTTTCCTTAGGTTATGTGCTTAAAGCGATGCAGTACTTTCACTGGGTTTACTACTTCCTGGGGAGGGGGGCGTGCTCCAATTTTCGACATGCTCTTTGTTTCTGTGTTGCTGCTTCCGCTGACCTTGTGTGCTTCGTAAAGAAAAAGTTCTTACCTCTTTACCAGCTTTACCTACTTTTTTCACTTCCTGGAATTTGCACATCCCTAAACCCTAAAACCCTAAACCCTAAACCCTAAACCCTAAACCCTGTTGACATCGACCTCTCAAAGGACTCCATTTGCACTGTAAGGAGGCACCAGTCTCTTCACATGCTTTCGCTTCCATAAGAAAAAACCGCATCCTTCACTTCGACCTACCTCACAGTACTCAGTTGTAGAGTAGGTAGCTTGGGATGTTCCCCCGTGTACTAACGCTTCACAGGGATTGTAACGGGGGGGGGGTACGATAATCCCTATTAAGGACTGTTCGTATAAGGGGGAACATCCCAATAGGTAACCTTTAACCCTTTTTGGGGGTAACAGAACCCCCCTTAGAATCCAAAGGCTAACCTTTGAGTTCCCCAAACATGCCGGACAACGAAGAGTAGCCCTGCACCCTACAAAACCCTAAACCCTAAACCCTAAACCCTAAACCCTAAACCCTAAACCGTAAACCCTAAACCCTAAACCCTAATCCCTAATCCCTAAACCCTAAACCCTAAACCCTAAACCCTAAACCCCTAAACCCTAAACCCCTAATTCCCCTGAACCCTAACCCTGTATCCTACAAAACCCCTGCGCCGCCCCAAGTCCGTACTTGGAGGTTCATTTGGGTCGTTACAAGTGGGGCTATAAGTAGGGTAAGTATACGTGTCGCCCCTACTTAGGGCACGTATAACCCTACTTCTAGCTGCTTAAATGGCTACTTCCCAAAATGGGGGGACCCGTTTTATGCCCCAAATAGAATAGAATCTCCTTCAAGGGAATCTCAAGCAGATTACACCATTTACGCAAACCAGCAATCCTTACCACCACCCCCCGCCCCCCCCCCCCCCCCCCCCCCCCCCCCCGACCCACTTTCCAACCCCCCCCTAGGTTCTCCCCCGAAGGGTTAGTATAGAGGGGGGTAGTATGGAAGACCTAAACCCTAAACCCTAAACCCTAAACCCTAAACCCTAAACCCTAAACCCTAAACCCTAAACCCTAAACCCTAAACCCTAAACCCTAAACCCTAAACCTAACCCTAAACCCTAAACCCTAAACCCTAAACCCTAAACCCTAAACCCTAAACCCTAAACCCTAAACCCTAAACCCTAAACCCTAAACCCTAAACCCTGCACCCCTCCCCCCAAGCTGGGGGTGCCAGGCCCGGGCCCACAGATCCCAGTGAGGGAGGTGCGGAGCTCGCCCAGCCGCATGATCGTGCCTGCACCCGGAAGTTTAGGGTTTAGGGTTTAGGGTTTGGGGTTTCGGGTTTCGGGTTTAGGGTTTAGGGTTTAGGGGTTAGGGTCTAGGGTTTAGGGTTTTGGGTTTAAGGCTTAGGGGAGCCCCTTAGCCCTGATCCTTGAACATGGCAAGGTTTTAGGGTGTAGGGTTGAGGGGTTTGGGGTTGAGGGTTGAGGGTTGAGGGTTTAGGGTTTAGGTGCAACATACAGGGGTTGTCAAGGGTTCGAAGGGGTTTCCAGGTTTAACAGAAAGGGGTTTGTTAAAGTGTTGAGATGGGTTTCAAAGCTCAACATAAAGTAGCGTCCAAAGAGGTTTCAAGATTCAACATAAAGGGTTTTTGCAAGAGTTCGAAGGGGTTTCGAGGTTTAACATAAAAGGTTTTGCAAGGGTCCAAACGGGTTTCAAGGTTTCAAAAAGGGTTGTTAAGGGTTCAAAGGGTTTCCCTTGAGAAGGTTAAAAGTTACAAGGGTTGTTTAGGGTTTAGGGTGAAAGGGTTCAAGGGTTTGATAGCTTCAAAGGTCTTCAAGGGCTGAGTGTTTCAAGAGGTTGTTGCAGGTTTCACGGTTTGATTGATTTAAACGTCTTGAAGGGTTAAGGGTGTGTGTTTAGAAGACTTCAATGGCTGTAGGGATCTGCGTGTTCAGGGTTAAAGGATTCACAAGAGGGGTTTCGGCATGCTTTTAGGCTTTGAGGCCTTGCAGGACGCAAGTCCACGTCGAAGGAAGCTTGGGGATTGCGTCTTTTGGATATGGGTGTGGGGATGTTCTCCCCTTCCACTAATCGTCCTTAGTAGGGATTATCGTACCCCCTACTATAATTCCTAAGGAGGACTGTCAGTAGCCCTTGAAAATCCTTTGCCTCTGCAGCGCCCGCAGCTCTTGGCATGATGTGGAAAACTTTCAACTTCGTCTTCTATAGACCCTATACATCGTCTAATATGGTTAGTTCTCCAAATTATGGTAGGGGTTTAGGGGTTTAGGGGTTTAGGGGTTTAGGGGTTTAGGGGTTTAGGGGTTTAGGGGTTTAGGGGTTCTCAAAAAGGACCATGTTTTGGAGAAGTGGCCATACCGCCCTACATAGCCCCTAGAAGTTTGGCTTAACCACCCACATGTTCGGGGACCCGTCCCAGCTAAGGTGCTGAATTGCGAGGAGCGCTTGTGGTGGGTTTAGGGTTTAGGGGTTTAGGGTTTTGGGTTTGGGGTTTGGGGTTTGGAGTTTGGGGGGGGGGGGGGGGGGGTGGTTGCTTTTTTCTTCGCCCAGCTGGGGATGAAAAGGGGAGACCCTAAACCTTAAACCCTAAACCCTAAACCCTAAACCCTAAACCCTAAACCCTAAACCCTAAACCCTAAACCCTAAACCCTAAACCCTAAACCCTAAACCCTAAACCCTAAACCCCAACTAAACCCCAAACCCCAAACCCTAAACCCCTAAACCCCTAAAACCCTAAACCCTAAGCACCTCCCAAGGCCCCCCAAAACTGCCAGGACATCGGCAGCAGCGCAAAGAGCGGCGTGTTCCGGCCGCCCAAGGGTACGTCTTACCCCTGGGATGCCGTGAGGCCCAGACATGCCCCGCTTGTTCTGGGGTTGAGGGTCTAGGGTTCAGGGTTTCGGGTTTAGGGTTTTAGGGTTTTAGGGTTTAGGGTTTAGGGTGTTTAGGGTCTAGGGTCTAGGCTGCTCAAGTCCTTTGCATGAGGTCCTTTTATAAGGGTTTTCTGTAGTTGCTGGAATCACAGGGTACCCCCCCAATATTTAGGAGATATCCCAATACCCCCCCCCCCCCCCCTAACAACAGGCGCCTTAGTGTTTAGGGTTTGGAGTTTAGGGTTTAGGGTTTAGGGCTTTTGTGGGTTCAAAGGGAGATGTGGAGTTCCAGAGCGTGCCAGCCCGCCAGGTGCGCCATCAAGTTCTACGAGAAGCTTGGCTTCATGACCCAGCCCATTTGCCATCAGGCCGGGCTTCTCTACTGCTTGCTTAAGAACCTGCAAAAAACTCACAAAATCCCTGTATTTCCCTTATAAGGAAGATTTTTTAGAATTTTGGGGGTTCTGAAGCAATTCTAAGGGTTTCAGGGTCCGTTGATGTGGTGCCTTACCTTCTTTAAAGGGTTCTGAAGTATGGTCCCTTGGGTATTACAGGGTATGTAGGGGTATGCAAGGTCCCTCCTAAGTCTTAAAGTCCTACGCCCTGAAAACCCTAAGTCCTGATCCCAACCCTTTAGACCCTAAACCCTAAACACCCTGAACCCTACAAGCTCTATAAACCAACCTTATATCAACCGCGCAAGTCCCAAACCCCCCTAAAACCCTACATGGTCACTTCTCTCTATTGCGGTCCCTTCTGGGGTTACTATTCTAAGGCGGCCCCTCATACCCTAATCCCCAAACCCTAAACCCCAAACCCTGAACCCTATACCCTAAACCCCAAACCCTAAACCCTAAACCCTAAACCCTATACCCTAAACCCCAAATCCTAAACCCTAAACCCGAGGCCCCAAAATGGGATCATCATTCTGAAAACTGACATCCATCCCGGAGGCAACGCTGGCCAAGCATTCGCCACCAGCGGAGCTGAGGCGTGGTCTGGGATGGTGGGGCTTGACGGGTTTAGGGTTTAATTAGGGTTTAGGGTTTAGGGTTTAGGGTTTAGGGCTTAGGGTTTAAGATTTAGGGTTCAGGGTCACAAGGGGGTTTTAAGTTGGACTGTTCCCCCTTGTATACTAGCAGCTCCTTAATAGGGATGAAAATAGGGGGTACTATTATCCTGATTATGGACTGATGGCAGAGGGGGGAACATCCTCAGTTTTAAGGGTTTTAAGGGCTTTAGGGGCTTTAAGGGTTTTACGGGTTTTAGGGGCTTTTACGAGTTTTAGGGGCTTTAGGGCTTTTAGGTTTTTTTGGGGTTTTAGTGGTTTAGGGTGTTTAGGGGTTGAGGGTGTAGGGTTTTAGGGTTTAGGGTTGAGGCTTTACGGTTTTAGGTAGGGCCGATGAAATGTTAAAGGGGTATAATGGGTACTTCATTTCAAACTTTGTAGGGGTTTCTTAGAGGAGGCCTGAAGTCTAAAGCCTGAGCCCTATCTTGCAGGGGGGCACTGGCAATGAGATTTTGGCTCCTGTAGTAGTTTACGGCTGCAATTCAGGGTTTAGGGTTTTGGATTGAGGGCAGCGCTTCTGCTCACCCGTCTTCTGGGCAGGGATCTTTCGGATGGTCACTCCTAAACAGGGCCTATAAATTCCCTTATAAAGGTATCCTTAAAAAGGACCCCCCCAAACCCAAGGGTACAACCTTAAGGGTCCTAGGTAGCACCCCTAAACCCTAAACCCTAAACCCTAAACCCTCAACCCTAAACCCTAAACCCTAAACCCTAAACCCTAAACCCTAAACCCTAAACCCTAAACCCTAAACCCTAAAAGCCCTAGAATACAAGGGTTTTGATCCTGTGTCGGGAGTCCCTCTTTGTGGGGAACATGGCCCCTCGTGTGCCGCCTGCAGGGTCTTGCTACTATTCCCTTAAAGGAACCCCCAAAAAGCATAAACATTCTTCCTGATAACGGGGTATTTCAGGCATAATCATCTTGTATGTTCTTGGGGTTCTTAAGCAGCAGTAGCTTGTTGCTTGAGAACCCCCCCCCCCACCCCTAACACATGCTTCCTTATAAGGGTACTTAAGGGATTATCATCTTTCTTCTAGGTTTTTTTGGGCGGGGGGGGGGGGGGGGGGGCTTCGTAAGCAAATAGTGGCTTGTCGCCTCCAGGAAGAAGCTCGTACAGTGCCCAGTAGTGGACGACGACGGGCGGCAGGAAGGCAGGTGTCGTGATTTCTACCCGTTAGACTCTAGAGATTAGGGTTTAGGGTTTAGGGCGTTTAGGGTTTAGGGTTTAGGGTTTAGGGTTTAGGGTTTAGGGTTTAGGGTTTAGGGTGTAGAGATTAGGGTTGCAGCCTAGGCAGTGAAGCTCTTTATATGAACTCTCTGGGGCAGTTGTCGGGAGGGCGCGAAGATGACAGGCAACTGCCCAGCACCATCCCCTCCCTCATTATATGGGTGCCGAATGATGGTCTAGGCTTATAGAGGATCTTCCAGGATCACACACGTGGCTTTAGGAATAATTCCTCAATTCAGTGGTGTTGGGCTTTCGGAGCTGAAGTTTTTGGTACGGTTGCAGCTTCGCACCATGCCTTCCCGTCTCGCTGCCTGTCGACAGCGGAAGGTCGCGGTTCCGAGCGTATCTTTGTTGTTACGCTGGCCCGGCCCTTGGTGAGAGGGTTTAGGGTTTAGGGTTTAGGGTTTAGGGTTTAGGGTTTAGGGTTGCGCTGTGCGGTGTTGTTTTTTGAATCTGCTTGGCGATGCCTGTCTTTTGTGTGCAAGGCCAAGACCTACGACTGTCCCTTTGTGGACAACAGCAACTTGGCCACGTAAACCCCTGAACCCTCAAATTGTAGGGTCGTTGAGGGAGGGAGGTTCATGGCAGGAAGATGCCTCGGGAACCTCAGGGAACCTTCGGGAAGCCTCGGGAGCCTTAGGGATATCCCCCTCCTTTAAGAAGCAAGCAGTACTCACAAGATCTCACAAAGCCCCCCAAAAAACCCCTTAACGATCGAATGTGTTCCTTAAATTGTATAGGGATCCTTGGTATGATTTAAGGTATCTTGCTTACTCTTGGATCTCTAGTCCGGGCAAAGTGGGCGCATTCCCAGTCCTGTGTGTCTTCCGGAAACAGAGGCATGAGCAAGCAAAGATGGTCCGCTTGCGCCATGCAGCCGGGAATTTGGAGTTAGTTACCTGATATCCCCTTATGTTACCTGTTCAGAGATTCAATTAGGGACCTCAACTCCTTTTTGCTGTAGAGGGGCCTTAACTCCCTAGTTCCTGTTGAGATCTAGGAAGCAGGCTCATCGAATTAGCTGCCCAGGGCCCCGGAACAGCTCATGCACACCCAAGACCCTACTGCGGACTGGAACATCCATCGCCTCCCTTACAGAGGCAACAACTAAACATCCCGAATCCCGAAACCCGAAACCCTAAACCCTAAAACCTAAACCCTAAACCCTAAACCCGAAACCCTAAACTGCTTGAGGCAACTATCGAGAGCAGGCGTGGTCTGGCCACGACCTGTGGCCATGGCTGCAGAAAGGAGGCCTCGCCCACAAGGCCCGCTTGCCTCTAGGACCTTTGGGGGGGCCCTTTAGGGCCCTTTGGGGTACTTTTTTTGGGACCCTTTTGAGCCCTTTAGGGCCCTTTAGGGCCCTTTGGGGCCCTTTAGGGCCCTTTCGGGGGCCTTTAGGGCCCTTCTGGGGGCCTGTTTTAGGGCCTTGAGGGTTTTTGTGGTCTTTGGGGCTTCTAACGTTCCGCTGTTCACTTGGTGCACGATCAGGTGGAATACATCTTCGACGGATGCATGGCTGCACCCAGTGGGGGGGGGCGGAGCCCATGAAGCTGAAACCATGATCCCCCAGACAATGGTTACGGTTCTAACCCTAAACCCTAAACCCTAAACCCTAAACCCTAAACCCTAAACCCTAAACCCTAAACCCTAAACCCTAAATCCTAAACCCTAAACCCTAAACCCTAAACCCTCAGCCCTAAACCCTAAACCCTAAACCCTAAACCCTGAACCCTAAACCCTAAACCCTAAACCCGTTTCACCCTAAACCCTAAGCCCTATGCTTTGCAAGGTTTCGGCGAGTTCTTGCCATCCAGGGAAGTGACGCTGGAAGCGCCGACATCCACCGCCAGTGGCAGACTGAGGCCATATGAAACGCGTTTTTGTTTTTTTGTCGCTGTTTTTTTTTTTTTTTTTTTTTTTTTTGTGTGTGTGTGTGTGTGTGTGAGAGTGTGTGTACATAGGGCTCCTTAAAAGTATTGGTGTGTGGAATGCATTGGGCGTTCTTTTGGGGGATATACTAAGCAGATAGACCCTACTTTGCTTATGCCCCATGCCAGGATACCCTGGTCTGAATACGGCGGCCGCTGACGGCGGCCGCGGACAGTGCGCGAGCATGCAAGAAATGGGCGTCGCCTTGCCCATGGCTGACACCATAGCCATCCAATCCTACCATAATTCAAAGGTTAACCCTAAACGCTAAACGCTAAACCCTAAACCCTAAAACCTAAAGCCCTAAACCCTAAACCTCAGCAACTAGGTAGCTGGTGTCCCCGCAGCACTGAAGCAGCATAATTATCATTCGAGGAAGCAGGTCAGATTCCTAAGGCCTGCGCCACCTGGAGAACGAGAGCTCTTGGAGGTTCATATGGGTAGCTATATGTGAGGGTTTAGGGTTTACGGTTTAGGGTTTAGGATTTCGGGCAGGCTTCTAAGCACCCTCAATGGGGTTAGAAGTATAGTTATCATACTTGCATCGCGCTGGCAAAGTTGGCTTTCAAACTGCACTGCAGGCATTTCTGCGCTGCCTTACGAGCCTGATGCTCGACACCACGCATCCACGACATATTTAGGGTTTAGGGTTTAGGGTTCAGAGCCCCCCCCCGAAACATCGCAGATTCCAAGCTTCCCCTTCTTCTGGGTTCCACCCTTGAACACTTGTTTTCGTCATGTACTCGCAGGGTTTTGATCCCAAAACCCAAAACCCAAGAACCCAAAACTGAAGCCCGAAGCCCCAAACCCTACACTTACCGACCTCCGGACGCTCCACGCAGCCATGGCCGCTGCACCCTGTGGCCTCTTTTCAGGCCGTGGCTGCACGTGGCCAGAGCACTTGCCTTGCCATCGCCTGCCATTCTGGGTTTGGGGTCTAGGGGTTTCGGGTTTAGGGTTTAGGGTTTGGGGTTTGGGGTTTAGGGTAGGGGTTAGGGTTTAGGGTTTATTGAAATTATTCAGGGTTCAGGTCCGGGGAAAGTTTCGAAGACAGTTTCCAGGAGTCTCAAGGAGTTTCGTGGAGTTTCGTTTTTTGGGTTTTTGAATAATTTCAAGTTACAGGGGGCTTGAGGGTTTTGGGTTTAGGGTTTAGGAGGTCCAGGGTTTAGGAGGTCCAGGGTTTGGGGTCTTTTGGGGTGTAAGGAGCATCGAATTTAGCGTGCAGGAGGTTTAGGGGGGCCTCAGGGGGCTGTAGAGGGCCGAGGGTTTAGCGTGGGGTGGAGGGAGGTTCAGGGGGTGGAGGACCGAGGGTTTAGCATGGATTTTAGAGTGGGGTTTGGGGGATGCAGGGGGTTGAGGGGGGTTTAGGGGGAACTCACCGGTTTAGCTTCTTTTGGGGGGGTTTTTGGGTTGTCGGAGCTTCGAAGCTTTGGGTGTAGGGTTTTAGGGTTTGGCTTGTTCAGGGCGTTTGGGGTCTGGCTTGTTGAGGGTGTTTAGGTTTAAGGTGTTTATTTAGGGTTTCAGGGTTTTAGGTTGTAGCATTCTGCATGAGTTTAGGGTCTGCAGGAATTAGGGCTTCAATCCGTGCAGCGCCCTCCAGACGCTTCCGGCGGCATGCTGCTTGCTTAAGGGTTTTAGGGCTTTCGGGTTGCAGGGTCTAGGGTTTCAGGACTTAGGGGGTTTCAGGGGTTCTCGGACCTACCATCATCAAGGAAGGTCTTACTTGTGGGCGGCTGTCTGCAGGGTGACGAGGTGCCGTTCTTCGTAGGGCATGGGGGATGAGGTACCCTGCACAATCCCTTAAAGGGTATATATAAACCCTAAATCCCAAACCCTAAACCCTAAACCCTAAATCCTAAACCCTAAACCCTAAACCCTAAACCCTCAACATAGGGGGATATTGGGCACCTCATTTCTTCTCATTCCCTGCTTGGAACCAGCAAGTCTTCCGTGCTGTCGTTGTAGCCGGTGCATTCTGCAGCCATTTGGAAACAGCCGTGCTTTGAACACCCCAGTCGCTTCACACTCGTAGGAGTCTGCAGTACACATGGATAAACACTTTTCCGGTGCATTCGTAGAGTTCAGCAGCCATACTCAACCAGACATGCTTAGTCCCCACTGTCCTCAGACGTAGGCACCCGACGCGATCCCTTAAAGGGAAAAAACAGGGGGATGCAGGGTACCTCATCCCCTTATTCCCTACTCAGAACCAGCAAGTAGTTGAAGAGGAACATCAAGTTTCAGCACCTGAGTAGAATCTCGCCCCTAGAGCACCTCGGCAGCAGTGGCTCCTCCAGATGATGTCGGGTCCGATTTAGGGTTTAGGGTTGGGATCCCTAATTAATCCCCCAAAACCCAAACCCTATACCACCCTGAACCCCAAACCCCAACAACTCCCAAACCCCCAAAACCCGCAAACCCTGAAAAACTCCAAAGCCTTAAAACCTTAAACAAACCCTTCTTGACCCTAACAACCCGTAGAAACACCCTACAACGCCCTTTAAAAACCGGAATAACCCTAACACAACCCTTCAAAACAATTCTAAAACACCATAAAAACCCTCAAACCCCTAAAAAGCCTGCAATTACCCTAAACCCTAAACCCTAAACCCTAAACCCTAAACCCTAAACCCTAAACCCTAAGCCCTAAACCCTAAACCCTAAACCCTAAACCCTAAACCCTAAACCCTAAACCCTAAACCCTAAACTCTCTCGAACCTCTTTAAGGTCAGATGGCCTTGAGGATCTTTGAAATCGACCGCACGCTCGAAGCTTGTCAAGGCGAGGGGCCCCCCGGACCCCTGGTTTAGGGTTTAGGGTTTAGGGTTTAGGGTTTAGGGTTTAGGATTTCGGGTTTAGGGTTCAAGGTTCAGAGTTCAGGGTGTAAGGTTCAGGGTTTAGGGTTTAGGGTTCAGGGTTTAGGGTTTATCAGGCGTAGGGTTTAGGGTTTGGGGGTCAGGGTTTAGGGTCTAGGGTTTAGAGGCTTGAGAGTTTCATTGAGGTTGAGGGTTTGCAGTTCGGGGTTCAGGGTTTAGGGTTTTGGCTTGGGGTTGACACGGACTTGGCGTCATAGAGGGGAAAACAGCCCCAAACCCTAAACCCTAAACCCCAAACCCCAAACCCTAAACCCTAAACCCTAAACTGATCCTTCTAATCAGCACGTTTGAGTTCAATCATCTCCCAAGTTAGGAGAAACTCCAAATTCTCCTTAATTAGGGATTTAGGGTTTAGGGTTTGGTGTTTAGGGTGAAACTATATAAGGTACCCTATAACTTAAGTTTAAGGGGTATTGGAGTTTCTGGGTTTTGAGATGATGTCAGCAAGCATTGTGCAAGACGATTTTACAAGGAAGGGCCCCTGGCAAGGGTTTGGGGTGCAGGGTTTTAGGGGTTTAGGGTTTAGGGTTTAGGGTTTAGGGTTTAGGGTTTAGGGCTTTCGGGTCTTCTGCTCTCCGCTGCCCAGGTCTCACCATGCTTGGTTTATGCAAGAGTTCTTGACAGATCGTCGACCTTCCCGTGCAAGTTTGAAATCGAGGGTTTAGGGTTTAGGGGTTTAGGGTTTAGGGTTTAGGGTTTAGGGTTTAGGGTTAAGGGTATTCGGGTCTTCTGCTCTCGCCAGCAGGTCAAATTTGGGATCGCGTGAATGGCTCGGCCCTCAGACTTGCTTTGGGTCACTTTGGGGGTTGCTTGTCACTTTGGGGGGGTGCAGAAGCACAAGCCCCAAGCCTAAACCCTAAACCCTAAACCCTAAACCCTAAACCCTAAACCCTAAACCCTAAACCCTAAACCCTGAACCCTGAACCCTAAACCCGAAACCCGAAACCCGAAACCCTAAACCCTAAACCCTAAACCCTAAACCCTAAACCCTGAACCCTAAACCCTAAACCCTGCACGAAGCCTGAAGAAGGCTATCGCTACTGGCTCGGCGAGCTCGAGAAGAACGAGGGAGGTCTCGAAAACTTTGCGGAGGGCTACAAGATTTTCGGCTTCATCCGCGAGAAAGGCCGCAGGGTTTAGGGTTTAGGGTTTAGGGTTCAGGGTTTAGGGTTTAGGGTTTGGGGGTAGGAACCCTCGTGTGCTACACTGGTCCGGGGGGCAACTACCACCTTTTGCCCACCATGAAGCTTGCTACAACATCATCACGTTTAGGGTTTAGGGTTCAGGGTTTGGGGTTTAGGGTTTAGGGTTTAGGGTTCAGGGTTTGGGGTTTAGGGTTTAGGGTTCAGGGTTTGGGGTTTAGGGTTTAGGGTTTAGGGTTCAGGGTTTGGGGTTTAGGGTTTAGGGTTTAGGGTTCAGGGTTTGGGGTTTAGGGTTTTGCAGCTCCTCTTTCTCTGGAACCCCTGCACCTTGCAACCCTCAGCTCTCAATGGCCCGGGTAGTTGACACTATGGTAATTCGAAATGGGCTATGTGCGGGATGAGCACCTAAACCCTAAACCCTAAACCCTAAACCCTAAGCCCTAAACCCTAAACCCTAAACCCTAAATTCTGAACCCTGAACTCTGAACCCTAAACCCTAAACCCTAAACCATCCTAAACCCCAAACCATCTTTGGCAGTTGTCACCCGGCCAGGTGGTTACACGTACAGAGAGTGGCTGCCCAATGCGAAGCAGGCGAGAGTCAAGCTTGTGCCCACTGAGCGTCTTACTCCCCTAAGCCCTAAGCTCGCAACCCCAAACCCTAAACCCTAAACCCTAAACCCTGAACCCTAAACCCAAAACCCTAAGCCCTAAACCCTAAACCCTCGCCATGTTTAGGGAGTCAGGGCTAAGGGGGTCATTCCTTGAGCCAGGTGTTCCTGATTGGAGGCTTCAACGGCTGGCAGAACACGACGCCCCTGAAGTCCGAAGGCTTCGGACGATGGGCCGTGCACTTCCCAGACAAGGCCTAGATTAGGGTTTAGGGTTTAGGGTTTGGGGTTTAGGGTTTCAGGGTTTCGGGTTTAGGGTCAAGGGTTTCGGGTTTCGGGTTTCGGGGTTTAGGGTTTCGGGTTTAGGGTTTAGGGTTCAGGGTTTGGGGTTTGGGGTCCTCATTTTAGGGGTGCCTAAACCCTAAACCCTAAACCCTAAACCCGAAACCCTAAACCCTAAACCCTAAACCCTAAACCCTAAACCCTAAACCCTAAACCCTAAACCCTAAACCCTTAAACCTAAACCCTAAACCCTAAACCCTAAACCCTAAACCCTAAACCCTAAACCCTAAACCCTAAACCCTAAACCCTAAACCCTAAACCCGAAACCCTAAACCCTAAGCCCTAAGCCCTACGCCCTAAACCCCTAACCCTAAAACCCTAAAACCCTAAACCCTAAACCCTAAACCCTAAACCCTAAACCCTAAACCCTAAACCCTAAACCATCCTAAGCCCTAAGCCATCCTAAACCTTAAGCCATCCTCAACCCTAAACCCTAAACCCTAAACCCTAAACCCTAAACCCTAAACCCTAAACCCTAAACCCTAAACCCTAAACCCTACACCCTACACCCTAAACCCTAAACCCTAAACCCTAAAGGTTCACCTGCAGGGCCCAGTGACTTAGAGTAGGTATTCTGGGAAGCCCAGATTTGAAGTAAGATAGGGGTTCTGAAAAGAGAAGTTCGGCGTTTGGCAGAGATTTTCGGGTTTGGGAGTTCTTTCTAGGGGTTTAGGATCATCCGAAAAGGCCGCCCCGGCCTTCACATTCAAATCTTAGTGGTTCTCAGTCCTCAGTCGGGAATTTGGGAATGAGGTAGCTGGTATCACCTAACGCTCTCATTCCATATTGAGACCTTGCAAGTGCAGCTTTACACTAACTCCTGGGTTCTCTATTCCTGATGTGGAATCATGAAGACACCCTAAACCCTAAGCCCTAAGCCCTAAGCCCTAAGCCCTAAGCCCTAAGCCCTAAGCCCTAAACCCTAAACCCTAAACCCTAAACCCTAAACCCTAAGCCCTCTTTTTGGGGGTCTTGGCCTTCCCGGTTTTTAGGACTGCGACATGAAGTGCTTCAACGAAATGCTTGGGTTTAGGGTTTAGGGTTTAGGGTTTAGGGTTTAGGGCTTAGGGATCCCCCCCAAGTACGAACAACCAGTTATGAGCCTCTTGTGGATGTGGAGGCAAATCCTAAAAACCCCATACCCCTAAAAAGCACTAAACCCTAAAACGCCCTCAGGCCTAAACCCAAAACCAAGAGATGCCGACTTTGACACAAAGGCCCCTCTCCAGTGGTTGGTGTTTCCCTTAAGCGGTCATAGCGCTCCACATCCCAATTCCCCTGCGGCTCGAAAGAAAGCCCTCAAAACCCTAAACCATAGAACCGCAGCAATCTGGAACCCTAGAATCCTAAACCCTAGAACCCAGAACCTGGAACCCTAAGCCCTCGACCCTAGACCCCTAAACCCACTCCCAGACAAGTGCTAAACCCTTCGGCGCCTTCCCTCGCTGCAGGCGGACGGTTCCCCACACATCCCGCACAAAACTCAGCTGAAAGTTCGCCGTGGCCCCAGCGGAAGCGTGTTTTTCCCCACCCTCGGTGTGGGGTTGTTAGATTTTAAACAACTCCTCGCCCGGAACTCTTCTCCTCGCCCGGTCTACTCCTCGCTCATCCCTGAATTGCCCAACCCCGAATGTCCCTGGAGTGCCCAACTCTAGATTGTCCCTAGAGTGCCCCAACCCCACAGTCCCAGAGTCCCTGGTGTGCCCAACCCCAGAGTGTCCCCGGAGTGCCCAGGAGTGCCCAACCCCGGAGTCTCCCTGCAGTGCCCAACCCAGAGTCTCCGGGAGTGCCCAGCCCCAGAGTCTCCCTGGACCCAACCCTAGAGTCTCCTAGGAGCCCAGCCCCAGAGTGTCCGTCTCCTGTGTTCTTGGAGTGTCCAACCCTAGAGTATCTCTACCAAGAGAGGGTGGGGATGTTCGAAGTAGAGTCTTCTTTTTGTGTGTGTCTCTGTGTGTGTGTGTGTGTGTGCGTTTTAGGGTTTAGGGTTTGGGGCTTAGCGTTTGGGGGTTAGGTTTCTAGGGTTTAGGGGGACTCCAATACCCTAAACCCTCAACCCTGGTTTAGGGTATTCAGCCCTAAACCCCAAACCCCAAACCCTAAACCCCCAAACCCTAAACTCTAAACCTAAACTAAACCCCCAAACCCTAAACCCCCAGCCCTAAACTGTAAGCCCCCAAACCCTAGACCCCCATGCCCCAAACCCTAAACCCCCCAAACCCCAAACCCTAGACCCCCAGGCCCCAAACCCTAAACCCCCCAAACCCCGAATCCCCAAGCCCCAAACCCTAAACCCCCAAAACCCTAAACCCCAAACCCTGCTTCCCTAAACCCTAAACCCTAAACCCTAAACCCTAAACCCTAAACCCTGAACCCTAAACCCTAAACCCTAAACCCTAAACCCTAAACCTTAAACCCTGAACCCTAAACCCTAAATCCTAAACCCTAAAGAGGAGTTGAAGCCAACGATGGCTCCTGGCATGACCGGGTGCCAGCATGGATCAAGCTGGCCTGGCAGGAGCGTGCTGCCCTAAACCCTAAACCCTAAACCCTAAATCCTAAACCCCCTAAACCCCCTAAACCCCCTAAACCACCTAAACCCCCTAAACCCCCTAAACCCCCTAAACCCCCTAAACCCCCTAAACCGCCTAAACCCCCTAAACCCCCTAAACCCCCTAAACCCCCTAAACCCCCTAAACCCCCTTAACCCCCTAAACCCCCTAACCCCCTAAACCCCCTAACCCCCTAAACCCCCTAAACCCCCTAAACCCCCTAAACCCCCTAAACCCTAAATCCAACTGCATGCCTCCGATAGGTCCCAGGTCCCTCCCTTTGTCCTTAGCTCTTGCAGTCACCGCCTTTGTGCTTTGGATTGCGGGCTGTTGGGCCAAATACAGCATCACCAACGTACTGGTTCTTGGTAGTGAAGGAACTAGGTACCCTACATGGGGAATATAGGGGGGATGTAAGATACTTAATTTCCGGATTCCCTACTAGGAGGCAGCAGGATAACAATAATCGTTATATTGCAAGTCAGAAATGGTTGATAATGAGAATAGCATGAGCAGAGCTTTGGGCCCTTCCCGAATACAGAGCACCATTTTGTTAGCCCCTTCTCCCCACCCGAACCTTGACTACTGGCAAAGCTAAACCTTTAAATGAGCAGTAGCCGTAAACCCTGAAAGCCAGGCCGGCGCTTTGCCACCTTCTTCTGTACAAGAATCAACAAAGATGCCAAGAGCATGAAAACCTCTCATAATTAATTCTAATCGGTTATAATGCAGTTAGAATGGGAGGAAAGCGAATCGTGAGAGCGATCGCGATCATAACCGTGAGAAGAACGAATAATAATCACACTGCGAGCAAATACGCGTAGACGATGTGCAGAAAGGTTTAGGTTTATTTAGAGCCTAGGGGTTCCAGTTGCATTCCTTTCGGGAGCCTTCGTGGAAGACCAGACCCTAAACCGAAAACCCTAAACCCTAACCCCTAGCCCCTAAACACTGAACCCTAAACCCGAAACCCCAAACCCAAACCCCAAACCCTAAGCCCTAAACCCTATAAACAGCCCCAGGACCACACGACAAATCTCTTCAACGGCGTTTTCTGGGAACCGCCCGATGAGGACGCGACGCTCTGATGGCCAACGGACTGAGTGCAGAGCCCTGAACCGTGGGGTTTAGGGTTTAGGGTTTAGGGTTTAGGGTCTAGGGTTTAGGGTTTAGGGTTCAGGCTTTAGGGTTTGGGGTCCTCATTTTAGGGGTGCCATACGATGAGGCCCAAAAGGGACCCTAACTTAGCGAGCTACCCAGGCTACTCTCAGCCTACATCCACGAACAAAATTCAGATGACATCCTAAACAAGGCATGTACCGTAGGACGCCTTAAGCTATCTCGGAACATTGCTTTTTTTTGGGTTTAAGAGGATCATATTCAGGAATCGTTTTGAGGAGGGCTTTAGGGGTCATCCTCGCTATGGTCTGATGCACATTCCTTAAGAGGCTTTGGGCTCTTGGGTCCTGCGCGGCCCATCTGGAACGTACCGGAAGGGTTTAGGGTTTAGGGTTTAGGGTTAGTGTTTAGGGTTTAGGGTTTAGGATGCTGAGGACTCCCGACACACTAGAAGGGTACAGCAAAGCCGTTGCTGCTGACCTTTATAACGCCTTTGCCAAACACGCCCGGCAGGGACCTACCATGTGCATGATTCGTGATAAACACGATTCTCCAAAACATCTAGAGGGCTAAACCATTTCCTGCACCATCTAAAACAGAGCCTTGCTAGATGCAGATTTTTGACAGACATGAGACACTGCTTACAGTCAACAGGCTTGACACCGCACATGTGAAGGCAAGCTTGTGTTTTCTTGAAAGAGTAATGTAGACAAAGACCATCCATGTCTGCACCGTAGTTGTGCCGTCAGGCGTAGCAGAACCTGGGCATTGCAGGCAATTCATCATAACACCCTTCAAACGAAAAGTGCGGCGCTGTCATTGCCCGAGAAGTACCCTAAACCCTGCACCCTAAGCCCTAAACCCTTAACCCTTAAACCCTAAGCCCTTGTAAACTGCCACAAGCCCCTGTAAACCAGCCCATGGTACCGGCGAGCCCAATGCCCCTCAACCGAGGAAGAGAGACCTTAAATCACACCAAGGACCCAAATCACACCAAGGACCCCTATCTAGTGTAAGGATAAGCCCTAAACCCTAAACCCTAAACCCTAAACCCTAAACCCTAAACCCTAAACCCTAAACCCTAAACCCTAAAACCTAAACCCTAAACCCTAAGCCCTAAACCCCAAACCCTAAACCCTCAACCCTAAACCCTAAACCCTAAACCCTAAACCCTAAACCCTAAACCCTAAACCCTAAACCCTGCACAGCCAAGCAGCCAACAGGAGCGGTACGTGTTCCAGAACCCTCGGCCAGATAGGCTGGGTGGGGGGGGGGGGGGGGGGGATTCTTCTTCCTAGGAAACCTAGACACCCAAATGCATAATAGGGTTAAATAGGGGGATATACTCGTTACATGGTCTCTGTGTATGGGCCCTTGATTGAGGACCCCTTATAATATATATATATATATATATATATATATATGGGCGTCCGCCTATTGCGGTTCCCCTTATTTTTAAAGGTTTACATAAATGTATATATTTTAAACCCTCAACCATCGTTATAACCACAGCAACAAGTCGATGATGATGTAGGTACCCCAAACCTATAGGGTTAAGTTTGACAGGTTTAGGGCTTAAGATTCAGGCATTTAAACGTAAGCCCGCAATGAAACCTAAACCCTAACCGTTCAACCCGATAGAGTTAAGGCTAAGCGGTTAGGGTTTAAGATTTAGGTTTTTTTTAAACTTTAAACCTAAACCCATAGAGATTTAACCTTAAGGGTTGAAAGTTCGGGCAGTTAAACCTTAACCCTGAACCGTTTAGGGTCAGAACCCTAAAACCCGATAGGGCTCTACAAGGAACAAAGGTTTTGACCCTAAAGGGTGCTGAAGGTATACATACCCAGACCTTAGGTTTTCTTGAACCATTCAACCCTACAGGGTTTAAATCCCAATGACGCGAGAATACTGTGAGCAAATGTCCTTTTCACTACTTCCTGGGATTCAAAATGTAAACAAACCATATGGTTTCATGATAGAATTCAGGTTTTGCTTATCGGGGGATGGTTGCTTGAGCTATCTTAGGTAAAGTAAAGCTTTTGGGATAGAGGTTTTGTTTTGCTTACTGGGGCGTGATGGGGTTACCCTCATTTTCTTATAGGATATTTACATGTATATAAATCAAACCCTGAACCATAGCTATAACCGCAGCAAAAAGTTATAACCTTGTCATATAGAAATTTCCGCAGAGCTTGTCAAATCCGATCATGATGTAGGCGCCCCAACCCTAGAGGGTTAAGGTTGACAGGTTTAGGGTTTAAGATTGAGGCATTTAAACCTAAGCCGGCAATCCAACCTAAACCCGAACCTTTAAACCCTATAGAGTTAAGGTGTAAGGGGTTGGGGTTTAGGACTTAGGCATTTAAAACGAAAACTCAAAGAGTTTTAATCTTAAGGGTTTAAAGTTCGGGCATTCAGACCTTAACCCTGATTCGTTTAGGGTCAGAACCGTAAAACCCTACAGGGCTCCCAAAGGTTCAAAGGTTTTAACCCTAAAGGGTGCTGAAGGTATACATGCCCAGACCTTAGGTTGTCGAACCATTGAACCCTATAGGGTTTAAAGGTTTAGGTTTAAGGTTTGGGCATTAATTACCTATACAATAGAACCATAAAACCCCAGAGCACTTACAGCTTAAATCCCCAAACCTTAAACCCCACAGGGCTATGCCTACGTTTGTAGGGCTCTTTCGCCCCGGTGACGCGAGAATACTGTGAGAGAATGTCCTGAAAACTACTTCATGGGATTCAGGATATAAACAACGAGGATAGTTCAAGTTTTGCTTATCGGGGGATGGTTGCTTGAGCGATCTTAGGTAAGGTAAAGCTTTTGGGATAGAGGTTTTGTTTTGCTTATTGGGGCGTGATGGGGTTGCCCTCATTTTCTTATAGGTGAAATTACATGTATATCAATCAAACCCTGAACCATAGTTATAACCGCAGCAAAAAGTTATAACCTTGTCATGTACATATATCCGCAGAGCTCGTCACTTTCACTACTTGCTGGGATTCAACATATACACAAACTATATCGTTAAATGATGGAATTCAGGTGTTGCGTATCGGGGAATGGTTGCTTGAGATATTTTAGCTAAGGTAAAGTGTTTGGGATATTTCGCTTGTTGGGGCGTGATGGGGTTCCCCTTATTCTAATGGGTTTACATAAGTGTATAAAAATCAAAACCTAGCCCATAGTTATAACCACAGCAATAAGTTATAACCTTGTCATATAGAAATTTCCGCAGAGCTTGTCAAATCCGATGATGATGTAGGCACCCCAACCCTAGAGGGTTAAGGTTGACAGGTTTAGGGTTAAAGATTGAAGCATTGAAACCTAAGCCGGCAATTCAACCTAAACCCTAACCTTAAAACCCTATAGAGTCAGGGTTTAAGAGTTCGGGTTTAAGGCGCAATCCCATATAGTATAAGTATACTTATGAGCAGAAAAGATACGGGAGACACTGCTTGCGATTCAGAATATTCGGAGCAGAAAGGATACAGGGGACACTGCTTGCGAATCAGAACTTTAGGAGCAGAAAAGATGCGGTAGAGGTACCTCGGCAGGAGAACCATTAAACCATTTCACCAATAAACCATTAAACCATTAAACCAATGGTTTCCCCCTTATGAGAATCCCTAAACTATTAAACCATTAAACCATTAAGCCAATGGTTTCCCCCTTATGAAAATCCCTTAAACCATTAAACCATTAAACCATTAAACCATTAAACCATTAAACCATTAAACCATTAAACCATTAAAGCATTAAAGCATTAAAGCATTAAAGCATTAAAGCATTAAACCATTAAACCATTAAACCATTAAACCACTGGTTGCCCGCCATGAAAATGGTTTAATGGTTTAGGGGATTCTCATATGGGGGAAACCATTGGTTTAATGGTTTACCATTGGTTTAATGGTTTAATGGTTTAATGGTTTAATGGTTTAATGGTTTAATGGTTTAATGGTTTAATGGTTTAATGGTTTAATGGTTTAATGGTTTAATGGTTTAATGGTTTAATGGTTTAATGGTTTAATGGTTTAGGGGATTTTCATAAGGGGGAAACCATTGGTTTAATGGTTTAATGGTTTAATAGTTTAATGGTTTAGGGGATTTTCAGAAGCGGGAAACCATTGGTTTCATGGTTTAATGGTATGGTTTAATGGTTTGGGGGAGACCATTGGTTTGATGGTTTAATGGTTGAATTAATGGTTAAGGGGATTCTCATATGGGGGAAACCATTGGTTTAATGGTTTAATGGTTTAATGGTTTAATGGTTTAATGGTTTAATGGTTTAATGGTTCAATGGTTTAATGGTTTAATGGTTTAATGGTTGAATGGTTTAATGGTTTGAGGGATTTTTGGTTAGATGGTTTAAGGGAATGTGCAAAAACACAGGGGAACCGCTATAGGCGGTGACCCATATATATATATATATATGTATTGTACCCCCCCGCCCCCCCAAAAGATCCACCCTTTTTTCCTTGTTTTCCCTCTGTTGATGTGCTGTTGCTGTGTTGTTGATATGCTACTTTACTTTTTCTATGTTTTAATAGCCAAACACATGATGATGAACGACACACGACACCATTGCCTTAATTTACTTGACCGAGGCCCCGCGGATTTAAACCGCATTTAAGAATTTAAGTTAAATGCGGTCACGACCCTTTGAATTTTAAACTGCATTTAAGAATTTAAGTTAAATGCAGACCACCCCCAGGAACCAAGAACCAAGGACTCTTGATTCTGGAATCTTGGTTCCTGGGGCTGGGCTGCATTTAAAACTGCATTTAAAAATTTAAGTTAAATGCAGACCACCCCCCGAACCAAGAACCAAGAACCAAGATGCCCAGGACTCTTGATTCTGGAATCTTGGTTCCCGGGGGTGGTCTGCATTTAACTTAAATTTCAAAATGCAGTTTTAAATGCAGCCCCAGCAACCAAGAACCAAGAATCAAGAGTCCTGAGCATCTTGGTTCTTGGTTCTTGGTTCCGGGGGGTGGTCTGCATTTAACTTAAATTTGTCAATGTAGTTTTAAATGCAGCCCCGGGAACAAAGATTCCAGAATCAAGAGTCCTGGGCATCTTGGTTCTTGGTTCTTGGTTCCTGGGGGTGGTCTGCATTTAACTTAAAATAAATTTTAAAATGCAGTTTTAAATGCAGCCCCGGGAACCAAGATTCCAGAATCAAGAGTCCTGAGCATCTTGGTTCTTGGTTCTTGGTTCCTGGGGTCTGCCCGCATTTAACTTAATTTTTTGAATTGCAGTTTAAAATGCAGCCCCAGGAACCAAGATTCCAGAATTAAGGGTCCACCGACTCACTCACTCTTTGCTTACAAGCAAAGGGGGGTGGGGGGGGGGGAAGGGGGAGGGTACCAGGGTCTTCCACACAGCCAAGACCCCTAAACACCACCCCCCCCCCCCCCCCCCCCCGCCCTCCCCTTCCCTCAGCTCCACTGCGGGCTTATTCTCTAAATCCTATTGGTTTAAGGGTTTAGAGTTTCAAATCAGAAGCCCCGAAACCCGGTCGGGTTAAATTAAACCAAACCCCTAACTTTTAACCCTATATGGTTAAGGTCTAAAGGTTTAGGGTTTAAGCCTTAGGCATTTACACATAAGTCGGCAAATGAACCTAAACCTTTAAGCCTTTGAACCCTATAGGTTTCATGTTTAAAGGTTTAAGGTTTAAGATGTATTAGGATTAAAACCTAAGCCCATAGAGTCCAAACCTTAGGGTTTAAGGTTGAGGCATTTGAACCGTTTGGGGTCTGAACCCTCAAACCCTATCGGGCCCAAAAGGCTCAAAGGTTCTAACCCCATAGGAGCTGAAGGCCTACATGCCCAGACCTTAGGTTTGTAAACCATTAAAGCCTATAGGGTTAAAAGGTTCAGAGTTTTTTTGCAGCGTTTTTCTCTAAAACCGTCACGGGGTTAGCCCTATAGGGTTTAAACTCCCTAGGGGCTAAACTCTCTATTTGCTCAAGGTTAGGCAGTACCTAGGAGTAGAACCTAGGTTTAGGTTTAAACCTTAGCCCTCAACTCTGTAGGGTCTGAACCCTAAAACCCTATAGGGCCCAAAAAGGCTCAAAGGTTTTAACCCCATAGGAGCTGAAGGTATACATGTCCAGACCTTAGGTTTGTGAACCATTAAACCCTATAACGTTGAAAGGTTTAGGGTCTTTTCAGGGTTTATCTCTAAAACCGTCACGGGGTTAGCCCTATAGGGTTTAGACCCTATAGGGTTTACATGTTTTGGGTTTAAGTTGTCTATAGGAGTAGAACCTTGTAACCCTGAAGGGCTTGAGGCTTAACTCCCTAAAACTCAAATCCCGTAGGGTTATGCCTCTGTTTGCAGGGCTTGCCTCCTGCGAAAATGCAAGAGAAAGTAGAAGAAGTACCCACATCATGTATGTATATAGACACTATAGGGCCCAAAAAGGCTCGAAGGTTTCAACCCCATAGGAGCTGAAGGTATACATGTCCAGACCTTAGGTTTGTGAACCATTAAACCCTATAACGTTGAAAGGTTTAGGGTCTTTTCAGGGAAACCGTCACGGGGGTAGCCCTATAGGGTTTAGACCCTGAAGGGTTTACAGGTTTCGGGTTTAAGGTATAGACATTGTCTATAGGAGTAGAACCTTGTAACCCCGAAGGGCTTGAGGCTTAAATCCCTAAACCTCAAATCCCGTAGGGTTATGCCTCTGTTTGCAGGGCTAAAATGCAAAGAGAACGTAGAAGCATACCCACATCATGTATGTATATAGGGTACAAGTATTGTATCTCAAACACATATAAAAAAGAAGGCATAAGGTGATGCACAAAAAATTATCTGCTGTAAGTGCCGGGGACGCGAGAATACTGTGAGCAAATATGTTTTCACTAGTCCCTGAGACCGCCAGAAGCTGTTTTAGATACTTTACGGTTGTATTTTTGTTTTTCAGGGTGCTTCAGGTGGTTGTGTGCTGTTATATCTCAATATAGCGAGGGTTTAGGGTAGTTTTGAGTGAAAGTCTAGTGAAAGGGGTACGTACGCCAGAAGGTTTTGTTTTTTATTCTTTACTGATGTGTTTTTTTCAGGATGTTTCAGGTGGTTGTACGCCTCGTCAGGAGAAACGAGAAAACATGATACGGGAACTGTGTTGTCTATTGGAAGTCTCGAAAACGGTGGATCTTTGGGGGGGGGGTAGCATATATATGTATAGATAGATATAGATATAGAGATATTTATTTAAAACCCAAGGTGCCCATAGTTCAGAACCCTGTAAAGAAGGGAAGGGACCGTATGAAGGGACCATGTAACTACCCTTGGATACAAGGTACCGCCCCGAATGCTAGTTCTTGATCTGACTCAGCCCTTGAACGGGATTAGAGACCTTTGGTCTTTTGGTTAAAGGTTATGGGTTTAGGGTGTCAAACAGTTTTTCCTTCTCCAATATGTTTTCAGGGCCTTTAGGGGGCCTTAAAGGTTCAAGAGGGTTTCGCGGTCTTTTGGGCTTTAGGTTCAGGGGATTCAGAAGGGTAGTCAGAGGGTTGTAGTAGAGGGACGTTAGGGGTTACAGGGGTGGAGCCCAGCACTCCGATTCTGTTGTATGAATTAAGTAAGAAAGTAAGCCCTAAACCCTAAACCCTAAATTCTGAATTCAGGGTTTTTCCTTCCTTGTCAGCCTAAACCCTAAGGGCATAGGGGGAGGAAGCTTCCTTGCAGCAAGGGCCCTCAACCCAAATGCCAAAAAACCCTAAACACGGAATGTCGAGCAACTCCCAAACCAGCACGGGCTATTCTACCCTACAACCCCTGAAAAGGCCCTCTATCCTAGTAGTAGGTTAGGTAACCTTTTTGGGGTAGTATAGTCCCCTTATAATCCCAAAGGTTAACCTGTAATTCCCCCAGGTTATAGAGTTGATTCTGGGGGAGTATAGGGCCTGGCCTAATAGCCCATCCTGGAATGCAACTTGGCAGGCCCGACAACCTCAAGATTTATGAGGCTCATGCAGCTCGGCCGCAACATTCTTGAGGACCCGGAGTGGTTTTTTTTTGGTTAGGGTTGGGGATTCCCTTATCATCCCCTTAAAACCAAAAAGGGTACCCTGTTATTCCTAGATTGCTCCTGAGTCTAGTTCTTGAGGACCGGGTGCCAATTTAGTGATGAGTGTGTTTCCCCCCATATGGAGGTTAACGAAAATAGGGGACCCAAATCGTAGGATCCCCTTATAGTAAGGACCCCAATTGGGTACCACCTAATTTCGGAAACCCCCCATATCTTAATTAAAGCACCCTAGAAGGCCTTGCTTGTCCTTGCTGTGCTTGAGCGGGGCTCGGCGAGTTTGGCAGGGAGAGGGCCTCTGCAGCCACACTGCAGGGAATCTCTGTGCCCCCCCAGCTACCCTTTATTCCCGAAATTACTGCCATCATGGGCCGCATACCCTTCTTCGAGAGGGATCTAGGTAGGTTTTTTTGTTGTCCCCCCCTAAGGCTCAGGGAAAAGCTATAGGGCTCAGGGCTTGGTACGTAAGTTCTAAAGCCCTAAGCAGCGGTAGGTCTGGACATATTGTTGTTGCCCTCAATACACTCCCCTAAACCCTATAAACCCTATAAACCCTAAACCCTAAACCCTAAACCCCAAACCCTAAACCCTAAACCCTAAACCCTAGCCCTAAACCCTAAACTTAAAACCCTATAAACCCTAAACCCTAAACCCTGAACCCGAGGTGGGTATGGGCTCCGTCGAGCCGAAAGTCGCCACTTACGTGGAGTTTGCCGAGACGGTCTTGCCTCGGGTCAAGCGACGCTTGCTTAGGTTCCAGGGTTTGGGTTTAGGGTTTAGGGTTTAGGGTTTAGGGTTTAGGGTTTAGGGTTTAGGGTTTAGGGTTTAGGGTTTAGGGTTTAGGGTTTAGGGTTTAGGTTAGGGTTTAGGGTTTAGGGTTTAGGGTTTAGGGTTTAGGGTTTAGGGTTTAGGGTTTAGGGTTTAGGGTTTAGGGTTTAGGGTTTAGGGTTTAGGTGTTCCAGAGTCCTCTCCACAAAGCGTTCCCCAACAAGGACTCCCCTCTCACAGCAACCTCATTCGTCTCTCAGGCATGGGTGTTGCTACCCCAGCCCCTAAACCCTGAACCCGAGGTTTGAAAACTCCGAACCCTAAACCCTATAGGGTTTACGGCATCCACTTTGCTGGAACAGGGGAATGCGGTTGGGGCTCTTGGTTTAGGGCCTGCCCCTCTCCCCTCAACAACAGGGGCTTAGTGGGGCTTTAGGGGCTTCTTTTTAAGGATCCCAAAAGCCCTAAAAGTGTAAGTGGCAGAAAGCACTTGCCCTTTCTTGGTTTTGCTTGGAGGTTCATGGGTAGCAATAAGTAGGGTTATAAGTGCCCTAACTCGGGTTATAGGTATAGTTACCATACGTGTAACCCTACTTACAACTACCCATGACCCCCCAAGTAGGGTTTAGGGTTTAGGGTTTTGCCGAAGCCCTCAACCCCCCAAGGATTGGGCTACAATGCTGTGCAGCTCATGGCCATTGCAGAGCACGCGCACTACGGCCACGCGCTCAGCCGCGGACGGGAGCTCACCCAACGCTCAAACCCTGAACCCTGGGCCCTCAACCCTAAACCCTCAACCCAAATCCCCTCAGGATGCTGCAAGCACCCTACAAACCTAAAACCCTAAAACCCTAAAAGCCCCAAACGGCCTCAAACCTCAAAACCTAAACCCTAAACCCTAAACCCTAAACCCTAAAACCTAAACCCCAAACCCTAAACCCTAAACCCTAAACCCCCAAACCCTAAACCCTAAACCCTAAACCCTGTCCGGCACCGAAGGCTGCTTCGGCTACCATGTGACGTCCTTCTTTGCCCCGTCCAGCAGACAAGGTACACCCGAGGAGCGTGGGCTATCGGGTTTAGGGTTTAGGGTTTCGGGTTTAGGGTTTAGGGTTTAGGGTTTAGGGTTTGGAGTTTCTGGGTGTTTCCGCGTTTGAAACAAGCGGTTCCTTTCTATGGACCCGAATCCCTATATGGCCCTATCGCAAACCCTAAACCCTATAAACCCTCTTTGTCTTTGGGGGGGGGTGGGGGGGGGTTTCAGGGTTTCAGGGTTCAGCATGAAAACGCAACACAGGCGCCCACTACACCCACTAAGCAAGGAATATGCCCTAAATCACAGCAAGGATTCCCGGATGGTTTCAGGTCTAGCCGAGTCTAGCCCTAAACCCTAGACCCTAGTCCCTAAACCCTAGACCCTAAACCCTCACCACCTTAAGCCCCCAGGAGTTGAAGTACCTCATCGACACTGCGCACGGCTTGGGCATTCAGGCCGCGACAGCGTTGCCAACACCTTCAGCTCTTGCTTCGCATGGGAGTCCGAACTAGGGGTGCCTTATTGGGGTCCTTCTTACAAGGGAAGCCTACTATTTGAGGGTCTAGATTAGGGTCCCATATTCTAACCCCCGCATTGCCTCTTAATGTTCTCATGGTGATCATTATTGTTGTCGTTGGTGCTTTTGTCATGGTTATGTTTTGTGAGTTTTTTGTGATTACGAAAGCCAGCGTAGCTAGGCTTGAGTTAGGCTCTGCTGTAGCAGGAAACCGGACCTGACCAACCGTTGGAGTTGCGTCCCACCTCATTTTTCGAGGAAGATGCGGGGGGCGGGGGGGGGGTCCTGAATCAGGTTCCTTGGGTGGGGAGAGGGGTCGCCATTGGTGAGGGGGGTGGCGATAGCTGCGCGGTCGTTGCGTTCTAGATCGCGGTCGTACGCGTGCAGGTTCTCTGAAGCGCGCGGGTTTCGCAGAGCTCCGCAAATCTGGAGCGATCGCGGTCTCCGTGAGCGCATGTCAAAACCGGCAATGTCGACAATTCTGTCTTGTTGACTGTTCCAGGGATCTTGAGATACAAGCACGTGTTCGTACGCCTGTCTATCTGGTTCGCGTGTTCTGGAGCGCTCCGGGGCCTGGAATCGCGGTCTCCGTGAGTGCATGGCTCCAAAAAATCCCGTTCTGTGTTTCTCGATCGCAAGTTTTAGGTAGCTCTTGAGGTCCAGATCGCGACCTCTATGAGCACATTTGTCCTCAACATTTGGATGACGCGGGGGTCTTGAGTTGTAGATCGCGGTCGGTATGAGGGTGTGTTCGTATGTCTTATTGGTGCATTATGCAAAGCCACCAGGGCGTGAATTTAGGCCAGCTTTCGCTGTCCTCGGCTTTGCAACTCAAGTTGATATTATTGTTTACTATTGTTATTCTACTGTTATCATTGTCGTGATTACTCTTCTTGCTGGCCTTATTTGCAAACTTCTTATTATTGTTATAACGATTGTCACAGTTATTGTTATTATCATCATTATTATGAATTGTTCTTCTTATGATTGTTGTTATTGCAACTGTTGCTATTGCTAGCGTCATTATTATTGTTTTCACTGGTCTTATTCCTGGCGCGAGGTCTTGGGCTTGTGGGGTTTAGGGTTTAGGGTTTAGGGTATAGGGTATAGGGTTTAGGGTTTAGGGTTTAGGGTTTTCATTCCTAGGCTACTCTTGGGTCTAGTACTGGCACCCCACAAAGGACCCTGGTAGGATCATGTCAAAAAGGGTGCCTATTGGTGGTGGGAACCCCAAACCCCATATATACTTTAAAAGGTGCTGATCGACCTCGTGCATGCCCACGCGTCGTCCAACACCCTGGACGGCATCGCCCAGATCCTTGGGGGTAGCTGCAATCAGGGTTCGTAGCAATATCAGCAAGAATTCTAGCAATCAAGCAGATGATAGTCATAATACTGCGAGTATTGACAAAATATAAGAGTAGCAGTAGCACCACTCGTCATAAACCGAATATGAAAGTGACAAAGAATACTGATAGTGAACAATTCTGACAATGTTGTTCCTCTTAGTAAGTAGGTTCCGTAGTAAGTGCTGGCGCTGTGACAGATGTCTTGTGTACATACATAATTCCTGTAAAGTTCGCTAAGCAGCTCATCTTGTATAGCATCTGCAGACACTCCCCTAGACCCGAAGCCCTCAACTCTAAATTCTAAACCCTAAGCCCTGAACCCTACACCCTAAACCCTAAACCCTAAACCCTACACCCTAAACCCTAAACCCTAAACCCTAAACCCTAAACCCCAAACCCTAAACCCCCAGCCCCTGCACTGGAGCGATGGACTCATTCAGCGAAGTCAGACTTCCCTGCATGATGGGCGCTCCCTGTAGATGGGCCCTGATTCTCTGAGGCTCCATCATCCAATCCATCCCGCAGAGAATCCCAAAAACCCTCAAGCCCAAGCCCTTGGACCCTTGAACCCTGGAACCCTTGGACCCTTGGACCCTTGAACCCTTGAACCCTTGAACCCTTAAACCCCTAAACCCCTAAACCCCTAAACCCCTAAACCCCTAAACCCCTAAACCCTTAAACCCTTAAACCCCTAAACCCTCAAACCCTGAATCCTCGACCCCCTGTGGAGTGCGAGCCGGCTCTCGCGGTCCCAGGATGGACGGCACAGATCACTGCTACACCCATGGGGGCCCAAAGGTGCGAAGAATCAGTTCCCCCAAAGCCCTGAACCTCAGAACCCTAAACCCCTAACCCCTAACCCCAAACCCTAAACCCTAAACCCTAAAACCTAAACCCTAAAACCTAAACCCTAAACCCCGAACCCTAAACCCCGAACCCTAAACCCAAACCCTAAACCTCAAACCCTAAACCCTAAACCCTTCACCCAAGCCCTAAACCCTACAACCGAAGCCAGGGCGCAGGGTCTGGGGACTCCTCAGCTAAGCAGTGCCTCTTGTATGGTTTTCTGGGCAGGCCCTTCTTGGCTGGGTTGTGCTTGGGGATAATTTTTAATTTCCCTTCTTTCCATATAAGGGAACCTATTCAAAAATATTTTTCAAAGGGTTTAAAGCACAACTCAGTTGGTCCTTCTTATAGATTTTCCCTTGCTAGGCTTTTGATTTTGGGATGCTCCCCCTTATACTCACAGTCCTCAATAGGGATTATCGTACGCCCTATAAGAATCCTTATTCAGGACTGTTAGAAGAAGGGGTCCTAAACCCTAAACCCTAAACCCTAAACCCTAAACCCTAAACCCTAAACCCTAAACCCTAAACCCTAAACCCTAAAAACCCTAAACCCTAAACCCTAAACCCTAAACCCTAAACCCTAAACCCTAAACCCTAAACCCTAAACCCTAAACCCTAAACCCTAAACCCTAAACTAAACCCTAAACCCTAAACCCTAAACCCTAAACCCTAAACCCCCCTAAACCCTAAACCCTAAACCCTAAACCCTAAACCCTAAACCCTAAACCCTAAAAACCCTAAACCCTAAACCCTAAACCCTAAACCCTAAACCCTAAACCCTAAACCCTAAACCCTAAACCCTAAACCCTAAACCCTAAACCCTAAACCCTAAACCCTAAACCCTAACCCTAAAGCCCTAAACCCTGAACCCCAAACCATATTCATGAACATCTTTTGAGAGGCTTTTACGGGGCCAACCTGGGTTTGTATGAGTGTTGCGTTCTTGTTGAATACTGAGTAGCTGAGTGAGTACACTTTACACTTTTTGGGATACTATAATCCCCTATAGAACTGAAAGTGTGCACTTTTTTGGGGCTTATGAACTCAGCAACTACGACAGTACTGCTAGTATTCCCTCATAGTTCCTTTGTGTTTTACTACAGACTCTCGCAAGCCCTCTTCTAATTACTAAGAGGCGCCCATATATTATGTTTGTTGTTGGTCTTGTTAGAGCTGTTGTTTTGCCTGTACTATTGTTAGTACTGTTACTTTTGCTGCTAGTGATCCTATTGCTACTAACGTTACCATTGTTACTGTTGTCATTTTTGTGATTGTTACTACTGTTGCTGCTATTGTTGTTCTCTCTCGGATACTGTTTGTTCTTCCTATTCTTGTTCTTGTTGTGGTTACCATTGTTGCCAGTAGTGTTGCCATCGTTCTGAGCATTGTTCTTGTTTTTGTGGTGAGAGTCATTGTTTTCGTTTTCATTATGGAAGTGTGGCAGCAAAGTTCACAGAACCAGTTTGGTGTTGGGGGTTTTTTCTGGCTTCAGCTTGAAAGCAAACAGCCGAGGGAGTCGAGACTCGTGGTTTTGGGTTTAGGGTTTGGGGTTTGGGGTTTAGGGTTTAGGGTTTAGGGTTTAGGGTTTCGGGCACCACTTGCGCTTGCCAGGGGCACCATGTCGAGTGGGACTCGAAGATCTTCAACTACCTTAAGTACGAGGCAGGGTAGCGCCAGCTACCTTCCGAGCATTGCAGCTGCTGCGGTGGTTCCCTAACCCTAAACCCTAAACCCCTAAACCCCTAAACCCCTAAACCCCTAAACCCCTAAACCCCTAAACCCCTAAACCCCTAAACCCCTATAAACCCCCCCTAACCCCTAAAAACCCCGAAACCCGCAACCCCGAAAACCCAAACCCCGAAACCCCTAAACCCCTAAACCCCCTAAACCCTAAACCCTAAACCCTAAACCCCTAAACCCCCCAAACCCTAAACCCCTAAACCCCCTAAACCCCTACTAAACCCTAAAAACCCTACTAAACCCCCCTAAACCCCTAAACCCCTAAACCCCTAACCCCAAACCCTAAACCCTCCCGACCCCCCTAAACCCCCCTAACCCCCCTAAACTCCCAAACCCCCGCAACCCCTAAACCCCCTAAACCCCCTAACCCCCTAAACCTCTAAACCCCTAAACACCCTAAACCCCCTAAACCCCCTAAACCCCCTAAACCCCCCAAGCCCCTTAAACCCCCTAAACCCCCTAAACCCCAAGACCCTGCAACCCTTCTTTCTTGGCCAGCGGAGCAGCTCTTCAGGTTCTTCGGTTCCTTCTCTCGAACGTGAAGTGGTGGCTTGAGGAGTACCAGTTCGATGGCTTCCGCTTTGATGGAATCACTTCGATGTTGCACCCTCGCCGAAGTGACCAGCATGAGGGTTTAATGTTTGGAGGTGTTAGATATGATATCTAGTAAATTCACGTAGTAGGTAGAATAAGGTCGAGTATGTTGCATAGTATATCAGATATCATATGTAACCATATATATATATATATATATATCTCCATATATATATATATAGACACATTGTGAGCAGGTCAAAGCATGCATGGAGTGCTTGCTTAGTGCTAGTGCAGCTTGTTGTTTTCCCTTGCATGTGTAGTTTTGCAATTCGTAACAATGCCAATGTTTTGGCTCAAGTACCGAGCTTGTGCCTTTGAGCACGGTAGAGTCGTACAGTAGCTCCTAGGTTGCTGTGCGGTCCGACCGGACGCACTCAGGCGTAGCTGCACAAGTGCTTGGACTCGCGAAGTCGTAAAACAGCGTGACCGGGCTGTGATTGCATTGGCTTAGTGCAAGTCCAGTGCTGGTCGACTTCACAATTGGGGGCTGTTCTGGGAAACGTACAGCTCTTGTGCCTACGGCCCGAGTGGGCAAGCATTGCTTTGCTTGTCTGTCGCGGTCCGTGACCTGGACGCGTGGACTGTGTGCCACGCTTGCGGCCTGTTAACCAAGGCGCGGCGCTTCGCGTGCCACGCCTGCGGCCTGCTAACCAAGGCGCGGCTTTTCGCCTTGTGTTGCGGCAATGTCCGCAGAGGTTGCAGGTCAGGCTGAGGGCGTCACCCTCCTCGAAGCTATCGAGGGTGGAGACGTTCCCTATCCCGAGCGGATGAGCTACGTCGCTTGGCTTAAGTGGCGTAGGGAGACTGGCAGCCGTCCGTTGTCCAAGCGGGATGGGGTCAGCACTACGCCAGAGCAAGAGGCGGCTCTCTGGCGGAAAGTCATGAAGTTCCTCCATGACGCCGAAGACGAGGACGAGGATGAGGAGGAAGAAGAAGAGGACTCCGAGCTAGTCCCTGAGGCCTCGGGCGCTGGAGGCGACAGTCCGCCGCGGGTGGACGTCAGCGCCGCGGCTAGGGAGCTGGCCATGGTCCCTACCGGTGCTGCCTATGTCCCTGCTACGGCACCAGGGTCCCGCCCGGCGGGACCGTCCGGTCCGCCGTCGACAGCAGGTTCAGTGCCAGGCACCGCAGAGGGCTTGCAGGCGGAGCTGCGCGCGATTTTCCGTCCAGACCAAGAACCGGTCGCGGACTACTTGACGCGCGTTTCGCGGATTGTCCTCGCGCTGAAAGCGCATGGAGTCACGGTGAGCTCCCGTGACCTTGACGCCTTAAGCACCAAAGCCACCCTCCTTGCGGATGAGTTCTCCAAGATAGGCGGGGACTGGCATCCGACGAAGATGGTCCGTCGGCTGCGGACCAGGTTCTCGGTCGCGGCTTTGCGCGGTGGCGAGGACCCCGAAGACGCAGAGGAGATTCAGCGCGAAATCCAATGCATCGGGGAGCTTATCCTCGCGTTAGGGGGAAAAGAAAGCTCGAGCCAAGAGAAGGTTTGGAGCTCCCCGTCCGATGTGCCAGTTGAAGCCGTGGGGCCGCGTTCCCCAGGGCTCCCACAGCCTGCGACTGCAAGTGGGTTGGGGGTAGGATTGGACCGTGGAGGTTTGCACACTGCCGAGGTTGCAGGTGGTCCTTCCGCGGCCCGTGTCCTGGGCGCGACGGACGGCGATTCCCCTTTGCGCGCGAAGCTTGCTGCGCTGGAGATGGAGATAGAAGCCCTGAAGCGAGGTTCAGACGGCGGAGGTTCGCAGACCGGGTCCCAACACCCGGCGGGCGATTTCGCCGCCGCACTCGCCGCCCAAACTGAAGCGCTGAAAGAAGCGTTAGCGCAGAGGGGCGGGCAAAGCTCCATAACTACGGTCAAAACTGACCTCACGTGGCCGACGCTGACCGACGACAAGTCGGACGCACGAGACGTTGTCCTGTTCTACGAGGAGTTCGAGGACGTCTGCGCGCTGGCCAACAACTGTCGCGGTATGAGTGCGCGCGAGAAGCTGTTAGCGCTACGCGGGCGCTGCCGCGGCTCGCGCATGAAGACGTACACGAACGCGTACCGCGCAGCGTGGAAGTCGGGAGAGGTTCTCTCCGATCCACAGGCGGTGTACGACCGCATCAAGAACAAGCACTTGATGTTCGGGGAATCGCGGGAGGAAAGAGAAGTCCGCGTGGATGGTGAGCATGCCTCTCTCGCTAAGGGTAAGCTCACAGGCCACCAATTCGAGCCTTTGTTTGAGGCCTCGATCGCGGACCTTGAGGCGGTAGGTCTTGGGAAGACCCCACGAGAGTTGTATCTCTCGTACCTCCGCAAGATGCCCCCGTATCTCCAAAAGGAGATCCGGAACGACAAACGGTTGTGGCCTGGCGATCCCAAGGATGGCGGGTTGCGAGGACCGCAGACTTGGGAGGAGAGCCACAAGGTCGTTCTGGAGTACGAGCAGAGGGAAGCAGCTCACAGGGCTGTTTCCCACTCTGTGTACACAGCGACCGGTTCGCAGAGCGCGGACCCGGCGGTCGCGCTAGCCGAGGCTCAGAAGGAGATTAAGAGTCTCAAGGCCGCTGCGAAGGCTGCTGCGAAAGGAGCAGCTGCCGCGGCCAAAGCTGGCGCGGACCAGACGTTTGCCGCTGCGTCGAAGGGAGCTGGCAAAGGAGCGGACAAGAAGATCTGCTTCCACTTTCGCGATCATGGAATTGCCCGAAAGGGGATGCCTGCCCGTACAGCCACGACAAGGAGCTTCGCAGAAAAGCTCTCGCGGCCAAGAAGGGTGACCAAACCTTTGCCACTGCGAAAGGTAAGGGCAAGGGGAAGGGAGGTGGCAAGGCAAAAGCCAACGCAAAGCCTAAGGCTGCGGCCAAAGGCGCGGCAAAGCCACCAGGCACTGTTTGCCCCTTTTTCTCCAAGAATGGGTCGTGCAAGAAAGGAGCCAGCTGCGACATGGTCCACAACCTGACGACCTCAGGAGGGACGCCGGCCTTGCCTGCCAACTGGGCCCCGCCCTCCGGTGCTTCCATGTCTAACCCCTTCGCCGCGTTCAGTGTCCAGATAGGCAGCTCAGGCGTCCAGGCAGGCGTCTTAGGAGTCGCAGGACACGCCGCGGTGCAGCAGCACGCGCTTCCGTTAAGCAAGGGCGGGCGGGACAAGTTCGCCACCCTGGACGATCTGCCGAAGGACTGGTGGAACCTGGCGGACAACGAGCCAGGAGGCTACCAGTACAGGACGGTGGTCCAGGTCCTCGACCGTAAGGTCGAGTGCATGCTCGACGGTTGCGCCGGCGCAAACCACGTGACCGAGGAACTCGTGGTAGGCATGATGAACCGGGCTGCAGAGCTGGGGATCGGCACTGAGGATCCCGGCTTCCCGGTCGTGAGACTCGAAAAGTGGGTCCACCCCGAATACGTGCATGGAATTGCTTCGGGAGCCCCCGTTCCTCTGAAGGGGGCAGCAGTCTTGCGCGTCACGCGGACGACTGTCGCCCCAACACCGAAATTTTCGTGCGATGCAAAATCGCAGCCAGGGGTACGTCCGATTGGCACGGACTTATCCTCGGCGGCAGAGCGCTGGACTGCGCCGGAAGGATGGGCTTGGGATTCAGGCCGGGTCCCGACTTTCACGTCCTCGACACGCTGGGAATCAGGATGCCCAGATGTGAGGATCATAGTAGGACTCGGAAGGATAGGGCCTATGCCTTTGAAGCGCGGTTGTCGAGCCTGGACGACGCGTCATGCACCGAGCCTGGGGGCGGAAGTCGTGAGCTTCTCCGCTATGACGGGGAAGAGCCGCTCGAGCTCTCGCCAGGTGATGGGGTGCTGGTGCCAGTCGTGCGGGAGACAGGAGTCTCCGCAGAGGGATCCCTGTCCGAAGTTGTGCTTCCGGTTGAGTGTGGGGTTGAGGCTGTGCCAGGTCTCTGGCCCACAGGAGAGGGTAAGGGGTTTGTTTTGCTTGCAGCCCAAGAGTGTGACCACTCTCTCCAGCCGGGCGAGGTTGTTGCGGAAGTGCGTTCCGGCCTCGTCAGCACTGCGGCTTGTGGTTGTGGCGCGATTGAGACGGTGTTCGAGTCAGAGCCGTCTCCGCAGGCATGTGTGGATTGTGGGGGCGGCGGTGCTTCGGTTGACCATGACCCGTGCTTTGCTTGCGGGTCCGCGTCCAGGGCCGCGGCAAGAAGCTTCCAAGTTTGTTCCTCGTGTGCGCGGTCCTTTGGGCGGCTGCGTACCGGCGCCAGGATCGGTGTGCTATCGGTCCTTGCTGCGGTGACTGTTCTCGCTTCGGTGTGGGGCGGGAGCGGCCCGGTTGGGCGCCCTGTTGAGGAGCCTGGAGTGCTTACTTGCTTGGACCACCTTCCAAGCGTCGACAACTGGTGGGAGGCGCCAGGTGGTTACGCGTCTGTGTGGGGTAGGCGCCCTGCGCAGAAGGACCTTGGGACCGTGGCGGTCGAGAAGGCGCCTTACGAGACGTGCTTGCTTCAGCGCGCAGGTGAGGCGTGGCGTCTTTGGGACACGAGGGATTTGCGTGTGGCGGAAAGCGTTGCGTGCAGCGATGAGGTTCCCGTCACCGAACGCCTCGCGGTCTTTAGGACGCGCAAGGGTCCACGCTGGGCTGGCTGGCGTGAGGGATCGGCCACGGCTGGAAGAGGCGCAAGTGACGCTGTGCGCCCAGCAGACGCGGTCGACACGGCGCGCTGCCCGAGCTATCATATCGTGGAGAGCTGGGACATCGATAAGATGATCGAGGAGCCTCCAACGGACTATTATTATGAGCAGCTCGCGGCAGATATGCGCGCCCGGCACCCTAAGGCGTGCCCGCATCTCCTCGACCACCTCGTTTCCTTAGAGGGTTTCCTAGACAAGTCAATCTTGTTTGGGTTCTCTTTTGGGATTAGCAAAGCCGAAGTTTGTGTCTCCAAAGGTAAACTCCTAGGACACAACATTGGGCGGGACGGGAGTTCGCCTGACGAAGAGCGTTGTCAGGCGGTGATTGACTTTCCCCCGCTCTGGGAGAAGCTTCACATTCAGCAATT